TACTTGAAGAGTAAGGCCGACGCCAGAAGGGCTGGTGAAGCAAGATCTTCGACTGCCTCGGTTGGAGACTTGCCGCCCGGCATGAGGACACCCAGGAGTCCTCCCGGGCCACCTCCGCACAAGCGGAAGAAGCTCGAGATCAAGCCAGAGAAGAAGAACGAGGTCGAGCCGGAGGAGCGCACCGACGCCAAGAACACGAAGCCTAAAAGTGAAGGGGCGCCAGCTATCAAGGCGAAGCCAAAGCCCAAGACGAACTCAGGGCTCACCAGCGGTTCACTCTCGGTGCTTCGTGGCACGCTTGCCACGCAGCTGATGCTGGATGCCGAGAAGACCAATGACCCCGAGTTGAAGAGGGAACTTGAGCGCCAGAAGAACGAGCTGCAGCAGCGTGCACCGAGAAGGTCAGTGGCAATCACGGCGGACAACCTCAATGACCAGTCATTCCATGATTCCAGGTACTATGCGGATGTCGCGTCTGGCAAGGCGCACCACATCGCTTGGAAGAACGAAAAAGGCCGCCGTAGAGCCATCTTAGACCGTAAAGATGGTGTCATTGACCGCGCCAGGGAGCGCATGCGCCTGGATGCGGAATGGCATGAAGAGCACGCTCAGCTGAACTCAGGTTCCAAGAAGCAAGATGTGGAAGGTCTTAAGGCCGATGTGGAGACCGAGATCATCGACGAGAGGGAGCGCGACAAGGATAAGCCCCTGGAACCTCAGAAGGAAGCTGTGGCTTTGAGCCGCCGGGAGAAGGAATCCTTCCGGCAGTTTCCCGAGGACGAGCAAGAGACCTTGGAGAAGCCCACAAAGAAGAAGGAACAAGGGCCGAGAATCAGAGGGCCCGACTACTACCGTCGGAAAAATGCCGCCCGACGTGAAAGACAGAAGGCCGAGAAGGCCGAGCAACGAGCAAAGGAGAAGGAAGGTCGAGACCGTGACCGACGACACGGATGGGATCCGGAAGAAGATGAAGACGATGGTGGTGGTGACACTGAGAGTAACAGCAACTACCTCAGTTCGCTCTTGGCTCCTCTGGGTGGATCGCCTGGAGAGCCACACGTGGTGGAAGAGCGTGATGGATGGAGGAAGATTGAAGTGAATCTGGACACGGGAGCCGCCGCGACGGCGATCCCGAAAGACTTGAACCTGGATGGACATGCCAGGACCCCACCACAGGACGTCAACTACAAGACGGCGTCAGCAGAGTGCCTTGCTGACGAAGGTGGTGTAGTGCTCAAGGGCACAGATGTCTACGGAAGTGCCAAGGTGTTGGAAGGGCGTGTGACAGGAGTCCACCGCACTTTGGCGTCAGGCGCAAAGGTTGCGCGACATCACTATATGGCGCTGGGAGCACATGGAGGTCAACTCATTCCCAGGAACTCCCAGGCTGGAAAGGAATATGCAGCCTTCATGGAGAAGCTGCACAAGAAGCACAATTGCATGACACCTGTCAAGGTCCGCAATGGGATCTATTTGATGGACTTTTGGATCGCACCGGGCACCTCGGAAGGCTCTTTTCACGGGCCTCCCGAACGGGTGTAAGTCCGGAGCTGCAGCCACTGGACGATGAAGGTGCTCCAGCCGCGTCGGCAGGAGACCTTGGTGGCGATGAGGCCGCAGAAGACGGCCACCAGTCTTCAGAAGAGATTGGAGAAGAGCAGAGGCAGGTGATCGTGAAGCGGTCCCCCGCAGATCCTACCGACCGAGAAATACAGGAGCACCGTGCTGCTGGGCACGTTGTTCACCGAAGCTGGTGTCTTCACTGCCAGAGGGCTCGGGTAACGGGCCAACGCCACAGAAGCGGTGACCCAGCTCGGGATGAGGATGGTAGGATGCCGTATGTTTCACTAGATTACTTTTACTTGAATTCAGGGCAGGAAAAGAGTGACGCTGATGGCATTTTGCCTTGCTTGGTTGTGAAGTGTCACAAAACTGGGCGCTATTGGGCAAATGTAGTTCCATCAAAGGGTGCAGAATTGTTCGCAGTTGAATGGTTGAAGTCTTGCCTCAATGAAACAGGTTTCAAAGAACTATGCCTGAAGAGCGACAACGAGCCGGCGATCATGGCTTTGAAGAATAAAGTGAAGGAGGAAAGCAGGTTAAAGATTCATCTTGCTGAGGCGCCGGTGGAGGATCACCAGGCGAACGGCTTCATTGAGGTCGCAGTAAGAGAAGTGAAGAGACAGGTCAGGGCGATGCTGTCTGACCTTCAGGAAAGGCTTGGGTTCGAGGTGGAACCGAGTCACCCATGTATGATGTGGCTGCCACGCCATGCAGCCTACCTCCTCACCAGGTTCCGGATTGGACCGGATGGAAAGACACCGTATGAACGGACCTTCGGAAGAAGCTGGAGGATACCGTTGGTAAGTTTTGGGGAGCATATCTTGTTCAGGCCAAGACCCCCAAGAGACGGACGACGTCATGACCTCGCACCAAGAGTGTCCATGGGAATGTTCGTGGGCACAGGACTGCGCAATAACGACATCTTCGTCATGACGGCAAAGGGAATTGTCAAAGGAAATACAATCACTCGAAGACCTCCTGAGGACCAGTTCAAGTACGAGAATTGGAGTGAACTCCGGGGTGTTCCTTGGAGACTCCAATCGCGTGAGGCTGGCGAGGTTCGAGTTGACTTGCCAGTGGTTGTCGGGCCGTTGAGCCGACCACCAGCTGAAGAAGTGATTCCACGGAATCTTTATGTGACGAAGAGCGACATCGAGAAGTACGGTCGGACCCCGTTGTGTCCGGGATGTGAGGCGCAGTTGCTTGAGACAGGGCGCAGGGCCCACAATGCCGAGTGCAGGTTCAGAATCGAAGGCGAGCTCATGAAGTCCGAAGAAGGGAAGAAAAGGATTGAAGCAGCAAAGGCAAGAATAGAATCAGGGCGTCGCCCCAAAGCTCCTAGAGTCGGAGGAGGGGCAGACGAATCAGAGGTTGTGGAAGCTGCCAACGTTCCTGCGTTGGTAGGCATTCCAGAGCCTGATGCCGAAATGGCCTCGGGAGAAGCTGTTGGAGAACCATTGGAACGAGTCGCACCCCGCGAGCTTGAGGAACGAGAAGAAGAGCCAAGAAGCCCAAAGAAGCATAAGTCCGGCACCAGTCGGACAAAGAGAAGCCCAGAAGCAGATGTTGAGGAGTTGCATCAACAGATGCAAGAGGAAGTTCAAGCAGAAGGAGCAGTTGAGTCGGGATCAATTCCGGCTGCCGGGAGCAATGACCCCCGGCCACACATGCCGCCAGTCGCACCTCCAGATGCTTCACCAGGAGGAGACGACATGGTAGACATCGGACATCTGTCCATGTGTCTTTGTTCAGTTTTGAGGGAAGCCCGGAAGAAAGGCAATGTGCAGAAGACTGTTTCAGAAATCTTCTCACCCCCAAGAGTTTCAGCGCAAGCTCAATTGGTCGGTTTGCGACCTGGATTCGCAATCGATCTTGAAACAAAGAGAGAGGATGAAGATCATTGGGATCTCAGCAAGGATTCACACATTGAAGACCTTTTTACGCTTTTGGACAAGGAGAAACCCAAACTTTTAGGTGGTTCACCGCCATGTGGACCATTCTCGCAACTTCAGAACCTTGTTGACGCCAGGAACCAAGTCCCCGCGTCAGTTAGGTCAAAGAGACTTCAAGAAGGTAAGAAGCACCTGAGAACCTCAGTGCGTGCTTACCGCGCACAGATGGACGCAGGTCGTTACTTTCTTCACGAGCACCCAAAGGGCGCACGAAGTTGGGAAGAGCCAGAAGTTGAAGAACTACGCAAAGATCCCCGCGTATACGAAGTCACAGGACCTATGTGTCGTTGGAAGATGGAGTCCTCCGATGCATGGGGCAAAGGCCTAGTCAAGAAGGAAACCAGGTGGTTGACCAATTCGCGACACATCGCGGCAATACTATCTGGTGTTTGTTCGAATGTTGAAGGAAAGACTTGGCATAGACATGTGAACCTTATCAACGGCAGGGCGAGATCAGCACAGGTATATCCCCCACTGTTGGTTCGAGGAATACTGGAAGCTCTTAGAAATCAACTGGCTGAAGACGGTGAATTCAGTCAAGCTTTGAATTCCCTCGGTGCTGGGCCAGTACCAGATGCTGTTCCAGTCATCGACGAAGAACAAGAAGTTTACGACAGTTTACCTCCCGCCGATTTGCCAGTCGCAGGACCAGTCTATGATTCCAACACCGGAGCGGAGTTGGATCTAGCTAAGGTAGCAGCTGCGAGACGCGAAGAACTGGATTGGGTGCAGAAGCAATGCATCTATAAGAAGGTGCCTGCAGAACAGGCACGTGCTGCTGGGAAAGTCCCCATCACAATGAAATGGGTCGATCGCAACAAGGGCGACCTGGAAAGACCAAACTACAGGTCTCGGATCGTCTGTCGCGAGATCAAACGATCCAAGAATGCGGACTACATCCCAGAGCATGCAAGCTTTAGTGCAATGCCGCCACTTGAGGCTCTGAAGATGTTACTGTCACTCATGGTAACTCTCCGAACCTCAAAGCGTAATCGAAAACCTCTCAAGCTACGCCTACTGGATATCTCCAGGGCGCATTTCTACGGACATGCGCAACGAGAGATCTTTGTGACTCTTCCAGAAGGTGATCAAGAAGAAGGTATGGTGGGACTGCTGCTGAAAAGCATGTATGGGACGCGCGATGCCGCCCATATCTGGCAGCAATCCTATACAGATGTGCTGCTTGCAGCAGGGTTCAAAAGATCCGCTGCATGGCCAGCAATCTTCTTTCACGAACGCTTGGAAGCAAGGCTGCTAGTCCATGGAGATGACTTCGTCATTCTGGGCGATGACGCAGCGCAGGAGTTTGTGGAGAAAGCACTAAGAGAAAAGTACGATCTTCGTGTCGATGGAAGCATTGGCGTAGGAGAGGCAAAGCAGGAGTTTTGTGTCTTAAACCGTCTCGTACGTTTCGACGAGCGGTCAGGATCAATCTTCTACGAGCCAGATCCACGTCACGCCGAGATCTTGCTCAAGGATTTAGGCATGGAGACGTGCAAGCCAGTCAAGAGCCCAAACGAAAAGCTAACTGCAGAAGCGCTAGCCAAAAGGTTAGAACTGGATGTGGTTGATCCACACAGGATCAGTCAATATCGTTCGCTCACTATGCGAGCAGCGTTCTTAGCCCAAGACCGTCCTGATTTGTCAGAGACAGTCAAGTGCCTCGCACGAAAGATGCAAGGACCCACCGAAGCTGATTTCGGTGACCTGAAGCGTCTAGCTAGGTATTTGAAGGGCAATATGCGAATGGTGCAGAAGTTCACTCCGCAGAAGTTCAGCAATGTTGTGTCAGTTCATGCTGACTCGGACTTCGCAGGCTGTCTTCTCACTCGGAAGAGTACTACAGGTCTAGTCTGTTACTATGGGCGACACACTTTGCGCCACTCGAGTAACCTACAGTCCACAGTCAGTCTTTCATCAGGAGAAAGCGAATACTATGCCTTGGTCAAGGCAGTGGCTTCCGGAATGGCAACCCAGGAGCTACTTAGAAGCTGGGGCATTAACGTGAATCTCCAGGTGTACACTGACTCAGCTGCAGCACTTGGAACGTGCAATCGGCTTGGACTTGGGAAATCGAGACACATACAGACCAGATACCTCTGGATTCAGGAGAAGTTGGCCGAGCGATCGTTCGAGCTGATCAAGATCGACACCAAGCTGAATACCGCCGACATCTGTACCAAAGCATTGGCAAGCGAAGCTGCAGAACGACATCTGAAGGCAATGGGTTTCGAAGTAGTTCAAGGACGTTCATCAATAGCGAAGGCTGTTGTGTAGTGTCCCAAAGTGGACAATGGCCTAAATCACCCACTGTCCAGGAGGGGTGATTCGGGACACGTACCTTCATAAACCATGAGGTGTATGTACCTTGTTTTGGCTCAAGTAAAATAGGAGAGTTGCAATTTTCTGATCACCTTGGGACAATGATTGCGAACATCATTGCAGGGAGCTTTGTAACGACCTCCAATATGGGATGTCCTTATTAGCGTTTTTTTTTTTAATCTGAACACAGAGCTGTCCTTGTGCGGCTGAAAGTTTTGTGTCAGACTTGAATAAACAAATGATTCTCCACACCGAACAATTCGCGGTGTAGCAGAAGACCCTCAGCACACGCAGAACCTACATCAGTAATCCATTGTTGCAACTTCCTCCATCGGGATGCGTGTCGCTGTGGCACTGCTTCTGATGGTCATGGTGCCAGGCTTCGTGAAGTGTTCTCGTTGCAACGAGAAAGTGGGTGAACTCGCCGGTGGCTTCTTGATTTTGTTGCCTCCTGAGCCGAGTTCTCTTCGTTTCAGCGATTGGGCCATTGGCAATTAAGAAAACGAAGACATGAAGTGACATGAAGAACAAATGGCGAAGGAATTTGACTCATGTGACTACAGTCAAGGGTTAAAGTCGTAGCGATTCTTTGCTTTTGAGTCCATACCATTGGGCGAAGCTTTTCGGGGGGTCGTAGCGATTGTGGCTGTGCCTATGAGATTTGCAGTGATTTGTTGAATCATTTTAGAGGCTTTTGTGGGTCAAATCCATGTATTTCCGTTGGGTTCTTGGATGACCATACAAGTGCTCGGTTTAAGTCGTATCAGTTTCTGAAAGTCGTATCGGGAGGCCGTGCGCCTGGAAAAAGTTCAAGTTTCGCATCATCACAACTTTTAGTACTTGAACGATTTCATTGTTTTAGGGCCGTGCGCCTGGAAAAAGTTCAATTTTTAGTATCGCGTTGATTTTTAAAGCTTATATTTGTTCATTCTTTCAAGGGGGCAAACGCTGGTTGCTGCTTGCTTGCTGATGCTTGCCTGCTGCTGCTTGCTGTTGCTGCTGCTTGCTGCTGCTTGCTGCTGCTTGCTGCTGCTTGCTGCTTGCTTGCTGGCTTGCTGGCTGGCTGGCTTGCTTGCTGCTTGCTTGCTGCTTGCTTGCTGCTTGCTTGCTTCTTGCCTGCTGCTTGCTGCTGCTTGCTGCTGCTTGCTGCTGCTTGCTGCTGCTTGCTTGCCTGGGTGGATAGGACAACAAACTTTCTGAGAGCTGCCCACGACCTTGATGCACATCGCGCCAGCCATAGATTTGGCTGCGGAAAACAAGGGGCCTCCATATCCTTATATCATGCTAGATCATAGCCCTGCCAATAGGATTTGCTACAGCTAACCCATTTGCATTGCAAGAAATTTGAGGCTGCACCAATAGGGGTTTGATGTGGTCGCGCGACGCAGGACATCAATATAATATTTTCAAATCCAATAGGAATAGCTGCCGAGAATTTGTTTATACATTATTTGCTGAGGTTGTTCCAGCATATTTAACATTTAGCTTACATGGGGGAAACGTCCCTTTGGTCATTCCTCTTACATACCTCTTTTGGATGGGAGGGACATTCGTTTTCTTTATTTGATGGTTTGGGATGAAGAAGGGGTGCGGTGGCGCAGGGAGTTCCGCACTTCATGTTGTGGTCAATGATGGCCCTGGGTCCTGCGCTTGACAACTCATGAATCAGGGGTCGTTCGGGGGGTCGTTCGGGGGTCGTTCGGGGGGTCGTTCGGTTGTATTTTCAGCACTTGTTTTCATTTGTGTTCTTTGTCTGTTCCTTTTTTTATCTTCTTCTCTTTCTTTTCTCACAGACTGTTACTTCTTCTCTTTTCATTGTTTCCTTCGTTCACTCAGTCGTACTCCTTCTCAAATCAAACCATTGTGGCAGAATGATTGTTTGTAATGCAAAGCAGTGCTGGCAGAAGAGTAGTCTGCAGTGCGAGGGGTGGGCTCTCTCGTGTTTGTTATAAGTTATAATGGTACTTTGTATCCTTCAAATGAAGGCAATTCCCTTGTGTTTTGATGGATTGCTGTGACCCTGCTGTGACCCGGTCGTGGCGACTTTTCCGCAAGCGGTTTGTCCACATTCAAGAAAATTGCTCTGACTTCAGCCCTCGACTGTATCAATCTGGAAGGACTCGTTTCGGATTGCTGCCTTGTGCCGGAACCGAGGGGCTGTAAACAATGCACTCCAAACCGCTGGGGCTACGGAGGCCTTGTGATTCCTGCCCGTGGTTTTACCAACCTCTTTGTTTCTTTGAGTCTTTGAGATACAGATGATACAGAATGATAAAAACTGCAGATGCATCGTCTTATGCACATCAGACAAAAGCTGGGCAGATTTGAAGGTAGAGCCAGGTAGAGCCAGGTAGAGCCAGGTAGAGCGTTTTGATCTGTTTTGCACGTGGCCAGTAGGTTCACACAAGAGATGATCAGTGAGGATCTCTTACCTAGAGATCCCTTCAAAGGAAAGACATTTGATTGCTCGAGCCTCTCGAGCCTGCGACCCTGATTGGAAGGCTTTAGTTTGTGCACAAATTGCTACAGGACTGTTCGGTGGGCATGGACTTTCACTGTCCGGTTTGAGTCACGGCCACTTTGTGAAGGAACTTCAAACCCATGCTGAATATTCCGTCCAGTTGTGAGCCAAATGGCCCTTGTATGAATGTTACCGAAATTTACCGAATGTTACCCTGAAGTGGTTGGAGGCGAGCATTTAGCATCATTTAAAAAATATTTTCGCTTCATTTCGTTTCATTTATCTTGTCTTCATTTGTCTACGTTCAGCAGGAAGAATGCGCTGAAAACTGGAGCTTCAGGTGATGCGTCTGGCGGTGGGATCCTGCGAGGTGACAAAGGTCCCAAGAACATGGCGCCTCTTACAGTGAAGCCCGGCAGCAGTAGCGGTAGCAGCGGTTGAAATCTGTCAGTGGTTCAGTGGTCACTTATGATTCTTATGATATGATCGTGCTTGGATGTGTTTGGTGTTTCAAATCATTTGTCTTTGGGCGAAGATCCTGATGTCTTTGTTTAGTGTCGGATTCGTCAACTACCAGCATCTTGCCAACTTTCCAAGACACGTTTGAAAGATGCTAGTGACCTGCTAGTGATGCAGTTATTCCCTCAAAGGCGCGAGGGATTCAATTACTTTCAGTCTCAAAGTCCTGCAACTTGTCACTCGGCGCTGAAGCGAGGACGCAGTACATTCGTCGCTTATCAGGACAAATCTCAGTCGTTTGGCTTGCAATTTCGGTTTAAAGTTCAGCAATGAAATGGGACACTCATAGTGCCACTAGAATATATCAAAATAAATCAAAATATACTATATAGAATAATCTCGAGTCCAGAATGACCTAAAATGGTTTTGGAAGGTTTTGGGATGACTCAGTAGGGTCAAAGTGTCAAAGAGTCTCTCTCACCCTACTTGAAGGGTGTCTTGACATGTTTTGACGTTTGGACATACTCTGCAGATATCTGATTGACTCAAACATTTAACATTTGGACACTGTTGAAATTGAAGACTCCTCAAAGCACACTTTATTGGCATCCTGTTGTCCTTCCAAGACTAAATCGTTCAATCTTTGAGTACTGGCTTGACCCAGCCCATTTGACACTGGTTGCGTTGATTGCATTTACAGCTCAGTGACAGACGTCCTGAGTCCACTACTCTGGTGATTGTGCTCTCCTGCGTTTGCTGCAGCCGTTTCTTGGATGCCTACATTCCAAAGGTGGGATCCTGAGATATCCTCAGATCCTGACATCGCCTGGCTGGGAGATGAGATGTTGGGTGCTAGACTAGACCTTCGAAATAGGCGAAACAGTTCGAATATTTGGACCGTCTTCCCTCATCCATCCTCATCCGTTTGATCAATGCTTCCGGTTTTGCCAGAACAAGCCTTTTTTAAAAACAAACATATACATAATATATATATATGGTGCCTCACCAGCTGCGGGGTGCGCTGCGCGAGCGCGCGAGCATTTAACACGTGCGCGCGCGAGGTGCCCGCGTGCGCGCGTGTCCGAAGTGCGTGCGCCTGTCTTTGCTCGCGCGTCTCGCGCGCGCGCCTGTCTTTGCTCGCGCACCTCGCGCGCGCACGTGTTAAATGCTCGCGCGCATGCGCGCGCGTGATTTCAACTGGACATGTTTCATATGTTTTAAAACATGACAACATATATATATATATATACATAACTTTATATATAAAACATATCAATCCCCGTTCGAATTTCCCTTACATAATGGAAGGGGTCGACCCCACTATAAATGGTTTATATATAGGCATTTTGTAGTTACAATGATCCCCCTAACCAGGGCATTTTGTAACAGGGCACCCAAAAGGCAAAGTTGTAGATTTTCAAGTGTTCATTTTGTAAGAGTTTTGAGGTGCCAAGTCATTTTATAAGACCATCGAGTTTGTCTTTTTTGAGGCTTTTTGTAAGCTCAAGATGTTGTTATTGAACATCAAAAAACAAAAAAGAATTCAGCAGGGTGTGCAATGACATTTTGTAAGGAGATGTCGTCAAGAGTAGAAGAACCTTTTTGTAAGAATATATGCTTTTTAGGCATTGATACAAAGTAGTGTTCAGATTTGTACATGTTTTTGATTCGCCTCAATCATTTGATAGCTGTTTTGGCTATTTCCGAAAAGGTCCCAGCCCAAAGCCCTGACACATCCAAATGGCGTGGCTTGTTGTGGTTCTTTTGGTGAGTTGGCTTTATGGTGTTGGGAGTGCACCAGATTTGCCATCGCTGGAAAATGACGATGTTCACGGCTATCTTATGTTTTCATTTTGTACATGTTCTCTCGTGTTCAATTTTTACCTTAAAAAAAAACTCATGTGATAACACAAACGCGAGACATCGTGAGAGGAGTTCTGGTAGGCAATGAGGCCAAAGAAGCAAAAATACAAAAATATAAAACAACATATATGTAACATAAAAGGTGACAAAAAATGGAATCCTTACAAAAAGGCTGCTTGAAAATCAACGAGTCCGGGAAAACCAGAAACAGGGAACCAGAAGTTGTTTCCTTACAAAATGATGCCCGAAAACGCTATCTAAAATCACAACTTCTTATAAAAAGGTCATCGAGTAGGATGCAACTTTCATATCATGAAGAAAGCCGTCGCCTTATAAAATGGTATAGGTGTTTGAAGTCGAATGTGGGTGCTAAAAACCTATGCTTTTTGTAAGGGCCAAAATTCCCAAAAACCAATTATTTTTATAGGGTTTTTGGAAGTCCCCTGGAATTATCTTACAAGAAGCCGGGTGCGACGTCTCCCCCTTAATTCGATCGGGTATACATATCATATCTAACATGGCTCGTCTGTTCTACAACGACTTCTTGTTTGTTCTGGACATTACCTGCCAGGTTGCGGGCTCGACTCAGCTCTCAACGTCCAAAATTGGGAGAAAGTCACGCGTGTTCAAACTCGATCTCCTTTCAGATCCCTCTCTCTCTCTCTAATATGTTTGTAACTGTTTGTAGATATTTATGTATATCTTATACATGTAA